AAAAGGAAAAATAGATGACATGTTGTCATATAACCTCTTCCTGACCACTCCATTCTGTAAAAACTAGTTAACAAGCTTTACATATGGTGTCCTTGGCCAGCCAATCCAGAACTGAAAAGATTTTATTTCCCTTAAGATAGTTCCCACTGGAACTGCAGTATTTATCAATCAAAAGACATTTATCACAGGAGGTTATCAGACAGATTTTCTGGAACACAGCCCAGTTGGCCGTACTGTTCCCAGAGGAGGGAGAGGGGACAAATGATACTTCCTTTGTACATTATATATTTGTATCCAAAGTAATGGGCCATGAATTCATTCATGGGTTCCTTCTAGGTAAATACCAGTTACTCATTTCCATTTCAAACTCAGCACAGCCCCAAAGGATGGCCTTTAATTTTGGAATACTGGGTTTCTCAGCAAAGCTGGTAGTCCGCACATGTAATTCTGGAGGACAGGAGCACCAGATCTGGGCTGATGAGTATCGTATTTACCAAGTGGGAGTATTACAAGTCACAGATGCTGAGACCATGAAATGTTTATCTCTGATGCAGTTGGCTATTTAGAATGCAATTTAAAGGGGTCTGGGTTTGTTATACAACAGAAGGAGAATGAAATTAAAGAAGGGTTCCATGTTCACCTAGTATTTCCTGCCGAGGCGTTTTATCAGGTAATACATTTCCTCATGTTTAGAGGCAGAACTAGCACTCCAGCAGGACCCACTCCGCTTCCCCTACAGCCATAGCACCTGCCAGAGGAGGAGCCGGGGAGGTGAGCCCAAGGATTGCCCAATCTCCAAGGGTCCCTTATCGCTGTTCATGTGCCATTCAATGGTGTGGGGATTTTCTATTTCAAATTTGCATGGATGGATATTACTCTGCTTCCCTCCTTTCTTTTCCTGGGTTCTCTAGGTTGCTGGCAATCTGTTCCTATGGACAATAGAGGAAAGTACTTTGGCCTCCATTTTTGTTGTCCTATTGCAGTGGAGTTAAATATTTAAATGTACTTGTAGCCCAAACACGGTGGTTTGCTTTCATAACTATTTTGTGTAGATTAATGTTTTTCACTGGGGACTCTTTGATTTCCATATAACCAAATCAAACCAATGCTACACTAGAACCATGGTGGAGGGACTAGATATCCTGGGAGTGGCTGGAAATCTGGTCTAATGTGCAATAAAGAATCTCAGACTTCAGGTTCTACTTTTTCAAGGCTTGATCTCAAAATAGTCCATGTTCTTTTTTTAAAATATGGTAAGTCTCAGTTCAAGTTTTTACTTGTTTTATTATGAATAGGCATCTCACAGTAAAGCAGCAGAACATTTCATTTTCCCTTGAGCATTTTGCAGAGCTGGAATTGTCCAATTGACTTAAAACTTTCCCAGTGAGTCCAAGATGAGGAAAGGCTCCCATTGGACTGCTGTTGCCCAGGGACTGTATCCTGATCTCAGACATTGATTCCCACCTCCAGTCTTACACCTTTTCCCCTAAAGGATCAGATGCCTAGGCCCCGGAGGTATTCATGCTCTCTTTTTCCTAGAGAAAAGTGCCTCTCCTTACCCCCAGGTGGGTGGTGTGCCATCTAGCCAAGGCAGCCCCTCAGCTCATAGCTGTAGCAGTTGTATTGCATCTCAGTGTTACGGATGGCTGCAGGCAGGAGAAGGGAAAGCTCTAAGTCAGTGATGGCAAACCTATGGCACATATGCTGCAGAGGGCTATTTGTATCATTAAAAGCTCTAAAAGGTTCACTTTCACTGCTCTAAGCTACTACTTATCCCCAGCCTGTGTGGTGAGATGACCAACTGCTAGAAGGAAGCAGAGTTATTTTTGAGTTACAAATGTCTTTCTTATTGGCTCTGGCTGCTTTAATTTCCTTAGTATCATTATACCAAATCATTTTTTCATTTACTTGTTATTTCATCATTAATTTGACTTAATAACTATTTCTCAGTTTATTTAGATCATTTAAAGACTGAACACACTTTATTAAAGTGAGGGGAAAATTGAAAAAGGTTGAGAAACAAAGTGAAGGAGGTGAATGCTTAGTGTGAGCAGACAAATGAAGAAGAGCATGTTGTGCTTCCCAGCCTCCTGTGTGGTCGCTGGCCTGACACATAACAAGTATGGAACTCAGTTATGTCATTCAGCACAGAAACACCCGCGTCAGGAAGAACCCTTGAGGTTCAGCCACATTCGGGTTAGCAACTCTGACTCTTTCCCCTGCTCTCTCAATTCCCAGGCATGTTCAAACAGGGATGCACAGCCTTCAGGGTCATTACCCCCAACATCGATGAGGAGGCCTCCATGATGGAAGATGTGGGCATGCAGGATGTCCACTTCAACGAGGTGGGTACTGGATCCCAAATGGTCAACAGCGGACCAACCGCATGCACAGTGTTGGTCCCATAAGATTGAGTCACCTAGGGACATTGTGGCCATCTTAGTTTATGTAAGTATACCCTGTGATGGTCTCACAATGACAAAGTGCCTAACAACACGTTTCTCAGAACGCATCCCCGTTGTTCAGTAGTGCGTGACTGTACTCGGGTACCATGAATCCTGCAGATTTCTTCCCAGTGTATCACCCTGGGCTTTTCCTGCAGCTGGTGCCTCCACACTGAGCTCCAGCTATATGGTTCTTCAGAAAATGAAGCACAGCAGGAAAAACTCTGCTGTTCTCCCTTCCTAGCAGTGCCTTCTCATCTCCCAGGAGGAGGATTAAGGGGCCAGTTTGTACTAAAGTGAGGCTGAGTATCCAGTGTATTCAATGGAAAGTTTATCAGTCTGTCTGACAATTTTTCTAGTGTATGAGTTTTGTTGCTGCTTTAGTCTGACTTTAGTTTTATTTAGTGGCTCCAACTCTAGACATTCCCTAAGGCCAAACCTCAAAGTCTCAAGAGAACAGACTGGGCTTACAGCCAGAGCCAGCCCTGTTTTGGGAGGGCCCAGTTTCTGCCTGTGTATGGGTGCTGTGATAGAGAACCACGCTATCCCACTGCCCTGGAGACCAGAAAGTGACATTAGACAACGGTAGTGATTCCTGAAGTTTCTTGTCAAAACAGGATAGCACCACATCTCCACATCTACTTATCTGTAGAATGTCTTGACATACAGCTAGGAATTTGAGCAGTGCAAGTTTTCTGCTTATATTCAGTATATTCTCTTTTCCAAGAATATCTGTCTGAATAATATATTCATTTGTACCTGCCTTCCCCAGCCCAAAATGAAACAGTCAAGGAAAGCTTTTTAATCCTGCCCATCTTTTAAAGTTGTCCAGTTCTTCATGTGGAGAAAAAGAACCAACAGAGAAAAGAGCACCTATCTGTCCTCTGCCTGCATTTTATTAGCTTTCTTTCTCAAGGATCATGGTATGGTTGCACACAGTTAATAGTTCATCTTTTAACCATTTTTGTACCAGTAAGGAGGGCCTGTGACCAAACATCTCCCATGATGTGAAGCAGTCCATAAACTACTTGGTTTTCAAAATGTGGTCCTGAACCTTTTCATGAAGGCTTTGAGGTCCTTACTTTTCCAACCGAATGTTTATGTGAGTCTGGATATTTTTGTTTGTTTATATATATCAACCTAAGCAACAGTCAGACAGATTTAATGCAGAAGGTATGAGAATCCAGGTTCTCCTACAAAGTCAGACATTAGAGTTGCAAAAATGTAAAGCACGGCTACTCCTCATTCTCCCTCTCTCCTTCTCTTCCTCCCTCCCTCCCTCCACCCCTTTCCCTTCCTCCTTTCCTCCTCTCTATTTTTTTTAAAGTTTCTTTGAAAAATACCATTTTCTTTTTTTATTCATTAATATGTTCTTTACTTTAAAATGTTATTTTTTAAGATATAGGTTTCTTTTTAATTACATTAACAGATCTTTTACATCTTTTCAGTTTTCATTTCTAATATTATAAATATTGAGAGAAAATACCCACATAAACAAAAGTTCTTTGGAGTCCTTAATAAATTGTAAGATATGTAAAAGCTTAAGAACCACTGTTGTAAACTGTCTAGTCTCAAATGGCCTTCAAAATTAAAAACTAAATATGAACAAAGAAGGTAATATATTGAGTGTACTTCATAAAGTTTAAATATTAAGATAAGTTTCACAACAATAGATAAAGTTTTCTAATTATCCTTTGGGGAAATAAGCTGGTTATTCCATGGCATTAACAGCCCTTCTGTCTCCCATCTTGAAGTGGCTGGATGGATTGTGATTTTTTTACTTCTTATTCTCAAGTGTGAAACCTATCTCTGAAGGAACAAAGCCCACATGCTCTTGGCTTTCAGCTCCCCTCAAG